ACAGAAAAAAATAAACCTGAATCACAGTCTCCATAGGTCTCTATGTCCAGAGATGATCACAAAATTTATGACTGCCAAGACAGATAAGAAAATTTTATATAAAGGTATGTGAGATGACCACAGCAATTAGAAACTATCCAGGGGGTTAGACTGAGGTAGCCAGAAATTAGCTAATGAAACTCTGAGATTGTATAGTTTATGTCAAACACTGATATATAAATCTGTAAAATGTTAAGTCTGATAAAATTAATCAAAATCCTGTGATTAAATTTAGCTTTCCAAGTGTAAAAATATAACAAATTTCTGAATCGCGAGACGCACGCTAAAATTAGTTGAGTTTAAAAGTCTCAACCAGACAAGAGTATCAAGAGTTCATGTCAAAATTCTAAAATATCCACCACTACATCAAACATATTTCTTGGTTCCATCACTTGTGTGACCCTGGTTGAACCAGTTACTTAAACTTTCTGTGCCTCAATTTCTTCACCTGTAGAAACAAGAACAGTATCTACCTCACTTGTTATGAAGACAAATGAATTAATATATATAAAATGCTTAAAACAGTGCCTGCCTGTCTTACAGTAGGTGCTCACTAAATATTTTAAAAACTACTTTCATAAAAATTTTTGCTAAATAAGAGTAAAGGAGAATTATGAAAAGATGCTCAAAATAGGAAAAAGAATACAAATCCCTGGCAAAATCCACATCTCACTAGCATCTACTAGACTTATGCACATTAATTCAATTTCAAGCAGAATCCAACATTGTATTAAGCAGATATAGTTTTTAATAGTACGGTAATGTTTATATGACAAAACTTATGGATACACTTAAATTATTAAAACTAGACTTAGAGGAGTTAACGAATCATTCTAACAATGGTCTGAATTCAAGTATAAAAAGTTCTACTAAATTATAAAGTCCTTTAAAAACCATATTTGATTGATAATGTTAACCTGTTGTCAGTTACCTTTTGTTTCTCAGAGTGATTACTGGCTTGTTTGGTTGCCTCAGCCAGTAATTCTTCATACTGTTTATGACCTTTATACTCTCGTACCCGTTTTTCATGAACCCATGCCCTCTCTGGCTGGTTGCTAAAAAACTGGACGTGATATTCCCGGGCACCTAAAAGTAAAAATGCTTATTAACCATTTCAGAACATAAACATCCACATATACTTTGCCAAAAACATGAACCTAAGCCAGGTTTCCTAGTATTAGAATTTGTGTGTTTTGTACTATCCAAAGATATAATCCAACATCTACCAATTATACAACTAATAGTTACTGTAAAAATCACACCAAATGATTAAAATTAGTTCAGCAAGTTTTAAGAGAAAGAAAATCAGAAATTCTGCTAATTATTAGATTTGTTACCTTGGTTATATAATTTATTTTTACTTGCCTCAAACTTTTATACAAACAAATCTGCATATAAATAAATTTGTCCTTAAAAAATGTATAACATATTTTCTTGGACTTTTAAAAGCCAAGTGCTGGTCAAATAGCTTTTCTAGGTATATCAAAATGTGGTATACAGGCCAGGGCTGGGGTGGAGGAGAGGCCAGTGGGACTCTTTCAGGGATCCTATGAGGTTAAAACTATTTTCAATATAACGCTAATATGTTATTTGTCTTCTTCACTATGCTGACATTTGTACTTAAAACTGCAGGAGCAATGGTGGGTAAGAGTGCCGCATCTTAGCACAAATAAATGCAATGAGTGACATCAACTAACTGTCATATTCTTCACAGCCATATATTGGCAGTTAAAAAAAAAAAGCCAGTTTTACTTAATGCACTTGATGAAACAGTAAATATAATTAATTTTTACTAAATCTCAACCTCTGAATACATGTGTTTTTAATATTCTGTGTGACAAAATGGGAAATATGCATAAAACACTTCTGCAGATAGAAGTATGACGTAAGTTATCTGGTGGAAAAGTACTTGTGTGATTGAGTTGCTGCAAGGTGAACTGGGTACTTTTTCATGGAACACCCTTTTTACTTGAAAGAATAACTGACAGAAAAACTATGGTTATTTGATCTTGAGCATCTGGCAGATATTTCTGAAAAATGAACAAAACAAGTTTGTCACTTTAAAAAAAAAACCACACAAAAAAACTGACATCATTTGTTGCCAATAATAAAATTTCATCTTTCAAGCAAAAAATTAGAATTAAGAAAACTAGTATCCGCATTGATAAGTCTTATAACTTCAAGAATTTTCTGACAAAGTAAGTGGTGATACTGACTAATGTGATTATAAAAATATCTATAAAGAAATGTTTCAACATTTGGAAGATATGTATGACTTGGTAAATAAATATATTTTAAATGGCCAATGCATGATGTTAACAAAATCATGAACAATAAAAGATCAATTCAAAGTGCAAAACAGAACCAATGAATTTTAATGTAACAAAGTACAAAAAGTCGATCGACATGATTTCAAATTCCATACTGCAATTAACCCGTCACTTGTTGAGTTTTGCTGTAAAAACAAAGAAATATACCCCCAATTATCTGAAAAGGCTCTTAAAATATTCTTCCCTTTTCTAACTACATATCTGTGTGAGGCCAGATTAATTTCATATACTTTAACCAAAACAACAAATCATAACAGATTAAAAAGTAGAAGCAGATAAAAGGATCTGGTGTATTCACTTAAGCCAGACATTAAAGAGGTTTATTACAATGTAAAACAGTATCATTCTTCTCACTAATTTTTTTGAAAAAAAAGTTATTTTACATAAGAATATAATGATAACATACAGTGAGTTCTTTTAAAATGAACTAGAATTTTAAAATTTCCTTAGATTTAATTTCTAAATTAAATAGTAAAAGGTATAAACCATGTAAACAAAAGTTTAAGAGTCCACAAATTTTAAGAGTAAAAGTAGTTCCAGGATCAAAACATCTGAAAAGTTGCTCTACAGTAATATTACTCTGAAAGTAAGTATAGTTCCCAGAATAAGCCAGTCTGTGACAAAATAATCACAGAAGAGTGAGCGTTTAGAACCTATGATAATTTGATGTTGTTAAGACATCTAGATACATGATCAGGGATCTTATACTATGTATTTTTTTTTCTTTTTGGAAAGGGAGACCTTTCATTCTTCTAATGGTTAATTTTATTTTATTTGACAGAAGTATTGGTCCATGGTAGACTGAAATTTTTTTTAAAGAATAAAAACTAGTCCTTTACAAAACATAGTTTGAAAAACACTGCTCTAGAACAAAAGTCTTAAGTAATAGAGAAATGCAGAAACAGGTCTTGGGGAATCCAAGATAATTCAGTTAGGAAAAGATAACAAGCAGATCCCTACTAGAAAAATGTGGTATTAGGCTTAAATTGAACTTAGTTATCTGAAACCAATTATATCTTGGATTTGAAAATTTTTAATTTTATTAGACATTAACAGGGGATGATCTAAGAAATTATTTTGAAACCAGATTAAAATTTTATATGGCAGATATCCTATGAGAGAAACATACACACACACCTCAGATTTCCATATCATCTAATCTGAGAAGAGCCAAACACAAATTCTATTATAATTAATGAAAAGGTTTATCAAAAAGTTTATCAAAAGAAAGTTTATCAAAAGTCCAACAGTTCTGAGGGACAAAAAAAGAAATATAACTTAAACTCATAGGTGAGTTTAGAGGATAATGACTAGCAGGGATGCAAGAACATAGGACATAATCTGTTTCCAAAAGTCTGAGTTATTTATTCAGAAACAAACAGATAATTCCTAAAAACTTGATAGTTAAAAACATAAAAACTAAAACTAACAGATAATATCTCATTTTAATATTTATCTTCAATTTCTTCCTCTGTTAAAGTCATTTACTATAGACAAAACGAATCAAACAATATTTGCCTCTTTGTTAGCATTTTGTTTTCTGTTGGCTGGAAAACCATAAAATAAGAGTAAAAATCTTAAAGACCTGAAAGATTGAGAAATAAGCACATGTGTAAAACCATCCAGTTTAAAGTTAAAAAATATATATTAGGATTAAAGGTTACAACAGGTATAATGTGATACCATTTAAAACTCTCAGTAAAAATATTTATTTTCATACCTATTAATTACATTATAAATAGAGAAAAAGAATTACTTTCAAATCCTTAATAGTATGTAAATATTTGGAGGAAGAAACTATGGGTACCTTTAGTTTCTGACCATACATATTTTTGTATTGTTATAAAGAGAAAAATCATTTTATTTTAACTTGTTCTTTTTTTTAGGCAAGGCAACCCTTAGTTGACACCTCACAGACTGCAACGACCTTGTCAGCTTACAATTCCTTATTTTTTATTTTTTATGCTTACAGCATCTGGTCTTCCTAGGTGGTCTCCCATCCAAGTACTAACCAGGCCTGACCCTGCTTAGCTTCTGGGATTGGGCTTGCTCAGGGTAGCATGGCCATAGACTTGTTTTTAACTTTTAAACTTAAAACGAGACCTAAACAATGAAATACAACTTAAAATAGACATGTGATCCAAACATCTTTCAACATGCTCTTTCAAAGAACTGTACTTTTATGTGTGAAAACCATTAAATATGTGTTCCAGTGCTAAAAATCTGGCTAATAACAATATGGAAACCAATAATTACTACATATAAGCAAGATAAATTTTAAAGTAGTTTAGATAATAAGCAACATAAAATGCTTCACGGGCATAATATGTGGAACACAATCAACAAAATTAAGTTTTATGCTATGTTTTTGGTTTTCAGAAAAACTGTTAGATTACTTTATTTAAAACTGCACCACACAGCCACATAATGGAATATTATTTGGCAATAAACTTAAAAAAAAAAAAGACCAGAGGTTATAGAATAAGATTTGAGACTCGATATACTGATATGAAATATAATAATACCTACTTCAGAATGTTGCTGCTATGAGGACTGCATAAGAAAATATATAAGAGAACTGCTTAACACAATGCCTTGCACAAAAGTAGACATTCAACAACTTCTTTATTTTTTTTACTTCTGCCCCCTTGATGCTTCCAATTACCCCAACTTTTAATCAGTAAGCTATGAAGAGATGATTGCCTTTTACACCAGGGCAGGTTCCTGACTATAGAGCACAAGAGTTACAGTTATGGCCGATCCTGTCACAAATCTGACTTGCTAGACTTATGTAGACACTTTTTCTCCTCATAATAGTGAACAGGGACCAAGATAGAATGTTTAAAGTGATAGAAAAATAAATAGGTGCAAAGTCCTCAATGACAGTAAGAAACTCAACATATAACAAAAGTGAGTTTGCAAAGCAAATATCTAGAAATAAATTCCAAAGTCAAACCTTCCTCTGGCTACTAGGCAATGCCAGAGTCTCAGGAATCTAATCTACATATTTTGGTTAAACCCAGAAAAAGGAGTAGAAAAAAGTCAGCACACACCTTTTCTTAATATTTATTAACATTCCTGATGTAAGATTCTATGCTATATAACTAGATTCAAGTTATACTTCTATGCCACACTGGATTTATAAGGATGTCTCAGTAAATGTACACATTCAAAAATGGAGTGAAGGAAAGAAGTGTCCTACAAAATTTATCAGGATGAAAAGCACTTGTATGGCTAAAAAATTACTACCCAGAGGAGTCAATGCTGAAATTAAAATATTCAAAAAAGCTTGGTCCAAATGCCTATTAAACTCATACGTCTTATTACTTATCCATCGGCTTTATTTTAGAATTCTTGAGAGGTCAGCCAGATTAAGATCTTTTTAAAAAAGTATAAAAGAAATTATAAAACAAATGTGGGGTGTTTAAGGGGAAAACAAGGACTATATCCATTGTAGAGGCTCTCTGACAGTTAAGATGACCATAATTGTTTCACTGGTTATTAAAAACTGATATAGTTATGCATATTTTGGTGTTAGAGTATATATCATGTGTATATGCTTATATTCATAAACAATATTTAAGATTCACTTTTTTCTTTCCAACCTTTAACTTAATATCTGTTTATACCTTTTCTTACCTCTTGTGTTAATTTTGGTATGAACCTCAAGCTGGGGATCACTTGAAACCATACAAGGCCACCAAGGATAGGTTCCCACCTTAGACCAAACAAGATCGCCAACCTGGAACTTAACACCAGCGGACACTTCTGTTGTTGGAACAGAAGATACTGGCTGAACCTATAGGAAATGGTCATAAAACTTCATCAGCAGAGAAATTTTAAAAAAGAAACTATGTACAAAGTACATTAAACATGCTATCCGTGTAAACTTTATTCTTATACTTTTCTCTGATACTTGCTATCCATAACTAGCAAAAGAAAATAGAGAGGAGGACAATAATTAATAAATCCCACTCCAAATATTAGAAACAGGATTGGTGGTTTCTGGTGCCAGATTATTGATAAGGCATCTTTAGAAATCACATAATCTATTTAAAAGTGGTTATAGTTTTGAAAAGGAAATTAATTCACTGAAAATATCTACCTCTTAAACCAGCTCCAAGATTTATTTCAGTATGGAAATGTAACAATATGTGTTAAATGTATTATAATCTAATCACTCTGCTTTCACCTTATAACATATTTGATTAGACCGTATTCAATAAAGCAACTCACTGGGGTTTCCTCCTTTAGTACTGGATCTTCTCTTGGTTTTTCTGAAACAGGGTCAACCCTCTCATTTGGTATCTATGTGAAAAGGCATAGATGAAAAGAATAAAAATGGCAACCAAAGAATAGTAGCATAACAAAAAGAATCAAAGAAAATTAAACAGCAAAGAGAATAAAGGACATTTATTATTAACTGGATAACATGAGGAGTAATGAATACAACTTAGGCAGTACTTGCTATGTCTTAACAGTAATTTTCTATTCCACTTCATAGCTATATCTCCCATTTCCTATTTTATTACTTTTAAAACTTAATTTCTTACATTTTTTTTTTTTTTTTTTTTTAAAAAGCCTATCAGAGTAGATGAGATTGCTAGTAAGATGTAACTTGAAATTTTTCTGGAGAGTATGTTGGCAAAATATATGAAAAGTCTTAAATTTTCAGACTCTAACCCAGCAAATCCACTCCTAAAAATGTATATTGAAAAAAGCATTGAGAAGTATGTGTAGACACACACACGGATATGCACAGACACACGGATATGCACAGAAGTGCTATTTATATTTTATATTAAAAAATGTAGCATTTGTTAAATTATGCTATAACTAGTGAAATGATATAAATTTTAAAATGACAAGAGAAAAATGACAATGTTACTTAAAAACAGCAAGTTGCAAAGCAGTTTGTATAGTATGATTCCAATCTTGGAAAAATAAAATTTTTTTTAATGTGCATAGAAAAAATACTAGAAAGATACCACCACGTTAGAATAAGTGATTTTTTTGGTGTGTTTGTCTATATTTATCAGATTGACTATAATAAACATTACTTTTCTAATCATGCAATCCACAAATATGTTATTTAAAAATTAATTCCTTTAACCCTTTGAGGAAGCAATTTGGAACTAATTATCAATATTCTAAATATGCACACTCTTCAATCTAGCATTCATATTTTAGGAACCTATTTACAGAAATACACAAAAGAATATCTAAGCAGAAGAATAGTAACTACGGCAGCATTTCGTGTCAGTAATCTACATGTCCACCAATATCTTCCGACTTTTTGATACACTGCATACCAAACTGTTAAGAGTAGCTGTCTCTACGGAACAAGATTAGGAAAAAAATGAGAGAAGATTCATTACTTTTGGATTAAATAATTTTTGAAAAGTTTCTCACTCGTCAAAGAACAGAATTTAATTTAGATGGCTTAAAAATAGGGCTATAGCCATCAAATCAGGTCTTAACCCCACTCAAAAAAATATGGCTAATTCTAAAGACGACTTAAAATTCTCATTTGATTGATTAAAAACATTTAAAACACAGTTGTAAAGACAAATTTTTCTTAAATAAATTATAAAAAGGTGTTTAACTCTTAGGAAATAAGCAAGACTAATATTCCAAAACCCAAGTATCATTCATTCAACAGTGCCTACAAATTTTCAGGCACTTTTCTAGAAGTTGGGTATACAATGGTAAAACAAACAGTTGTGATCCCTGACCTCAAAAAATTTACAGTTGGATAGGACAGACATTAAACAATTAAAAACACAAACATATACTGATACAATGTAAATATATAAAAAGAAATAATGGTGTGTGTGTGTGTGTGTATCTTTAGAAATGAAGCTCAGGAAAGGCCTCTCTGAGAAAGTAAATTATAATCTGAAAATCAAAGGAAGAGGAGTTAGCCTAGTAAAAAGTAGGGGAAAGAACATTCCAAAAGGAGTGGTATGTGTGAGGTCCTTGAGGTTAAAAAAAAAGGGGCGGGGTATAAAGTTCAAGAAGGCCATTTCAACTGACTTAACTGCCTCAAGGAGGAGAGGGGTTGCAAGATGAGAGTGTTGAGACAGGCTACATTACAAGGGCTTCGTAAGCCATGTTCAAGCACTAGTATCTAAGTGCAATGAAAAACCATTGAAGAGGAGGATTAGGTAGAGAAGTAGCACACGCCAATTTGTTTTTAAAAGATCATGTTAGCTGCTATGTGGAGAATATTTTGGAAAGGATCAAGAGGGGAAGCAGAATGTTTAATAGGAGGTTAGTGAAAATACTGGAAATGGCCCAGGTGAAATAAGATAGCGGCAACTTGTTGATAGGCACAAAATTAGCTCTGTCAGATGCATCTGTGGCGGTATCATGAAAACATCTAATCTAATAGGACATACTCACTGAGCTAGGAAAATATTCAAATGAAAAAAAATTTTTTTCCTCATCATAAGCGTAATAATAAAGCAGTTTAGATATACTGTTCACATTTGCATAGGCCCATTTGGTGGTTTCACTTCAGTCTACAGATGTAACTTACGCCTTCACTTCAACTTCTCATTCTCAAGCTATAGCAGGAAAATAGGGCCACTTGAGGAAGCACACATATAGCCAAGAAAGCAGATCATCCTCCGTACGCTCATGATGTCTGGGCGTAAGGGATCTCTATAACTCTTTTAGATAAGGAGTAACTAATCTTTGCCAAACAATAGAATTTTACTATTGTAAGAACTGGTCTGAAGCCCATTAATATTTTTCGCTTTTTGAATTAAAGACAGAATTTTCTTCAAAACTTATTTAAATGCCTTATCTTTAGTTTTTATTTTTTTGATATTTTGGTTTGTTCCAGATTATTCACATTTCCTTCAGGCTGGCTTGAAACACTGTTAAAATCACTTTCATACAACTGAAATTTTTTACAGTCATTTTAAAAGAAATGGCAAAGGAGAGAAAGAGACTCAAGATTTATTCTAAGCCTTCAAGGCTATATAAATAAATGAAGGAAAAAGAAGTCAAGGATGCTGCAATGACAGAAAGAGAATATACACTGTAAAATGTGCTAATGCGTGAGCAAAACAGAATTATCTAGTTGGAATTTAGAGATCTGTTACTTGAACTCAAAAGAAAGGTTAAGAGGCAAACCAAGAGATAGTATAATTATAAACACCACTGAAGAAGTTTTTAAGATGAAATGGTGAACAGAAGTCAAAAGGTTAAGAAAAATGAGTCAGAAAAATGCCAACAGATTAACTGCATCTGGGTATAAAATCCATTTTCCTTTAGTTGTTCAAAGGATAGATAAGCTTAAAAGAGATTAAAATCAAGTAAGGACAGAAAATACCTTTTTTTGGTACTAACTGTGTTGCTTTAGGAAGAGAAAACACCAGAAAAAGATGACAGTGAATTAGCTCTCCTTAGTGTTCGAGTCATCTTAACTTTAAACTTAGGATTTTATGGGTATATAAAATCCTTTTTTCCATTTTCAGTGAATTCCACATAGAAAGACCTATATTCCAGGAAAGAATCACAGGAAGTTTCATAAACAGGAAAAAAAATGATCACAGCTAAAATAAAATTACATTATCCTAAGTATTCCTTTCAAAAACTTGTTCTAGTACTTTTATTCGAACCCAAGCAATTAAGATGAAAAATATGCATCAAACCTGGCAGAATTACAACCCTTAATAATTTTTAAAACATTGAGCAAAGTCATATTCTCTACAAGAACCAAAAACTTGTCTATATTTAAGGTGAAAAGAAAATTTTTAAGGGAATAAAATGTGTTTTCCTGTCACTTTTTGAATAACTGCTTAAATTTGTAATCTTAAAAACTTAAAAAAAAAAAAACCCTATGCAAAAAGAACATTTTGCATGTGAACAGTTTCTAAGAATTTTAAGAGCTAATACTCTTGAGGCTACAGAACCAAATATAATCTTAAACTTAGTGCTAATGGGACCAAGCCAGCTATTTGGTTTTTTATAAGTGAAAATGGCAAGCTAAGAGTTAATGAGACTAGCCTTAGTGGATAAGCCCAGAGGTGCTGGTGAAAGACCAACATTTGAACAAGGCCTACACTCACATGCCTGAGGCATTACACCTGCCAAGAAGGAAGAAATGCAGAAACACTGCCACATGTTTCTAATTTGGTGGGAGGAAAAACAGCTAAAGCAGCTTTAAAAAATATACAATTTCAGTAGTGATCTCCTGCTGCTTAGACATTTGGACACATTTTCATTGTTGAGAAGGTATACTTAGATTGTTCCAAATAACAGTCACTCTTTAGAAGACCAAACAGCTCAGAAACAGGAGGAAATACCTGTAGATCAAATACTAAGAAAAAAGAAAAGAAACAGTGAGTGAATTTCTGAAGTGAGATTTTGTTTGCTGAAAAAAAGAATCTAGGAGTGGAGAGATATGTATATGTATATATCAGCGTAAGGACAATCATTCTAAGCTTTTCTTCCAGGCACACAGCTCTCCTTATACTTCCCTAAGGTACTGGGGGAAGGGAGCTGTCCAGTGGTGTCAGCAGACTCTTGGGCTTTTCACGTCTAAGCCCTCCATAAGGCTAAAACACCAAGGGCTTGAACCCCTGGCAAAAACCAGGAGGTGCAAAGGTATCAAAAATTAAAACTTTAAAAAAAAAAGCTGTCCTGAAAGAAGCAAAATAGATGTTGCTCAAGTTAAGGAAATGCAATAAAAAAATATATAAGGTTACAAAACATAAACTTGTGCACATCACTAATCATCTGTATAGCTAGCTTAGCAAAAGCACGATACTAACAAACAAACAAAGGGCCTTGGGAGTTCTAGCTTTAAAGTTCTATTGTCAACTTTTATAGCACCCATCTCTTAAGCTTATAATTGCCCCCTTGTGTGATAAAATTTTAATTAATCAAAATTCAACTAATGAGAACTTAGCTCTTCACTTTATTTCTTTCAAAGAAATGAGAGGGAAGAGAGAAAGAGGGATAAAGATGGGAGTAGGGGACAGGGGTGTAGGGAGAAAGAAGGCAGGGAGGAAGAGAGAGAGGGAGGAGCGAGTGAGAGAGAAACAAGAAAAAAATGTGATTTCCCTCAAAATGCAGTGCAAAAAGTTAACTTCTGTCCATTTCAGGAAATGGTCTTGGTAATATTTAGTGCAATCAGTGCCACTTTCTACATCTATATCTTCAGTCAAATTGACATTCCTTTACCTAAAGATATTTTAAGATCCTAAATAATTCAATATTAAATTATGTCTCACTTGATTTACTAAAAAAAGAAAATAAACAAAATTCTTAAATTATGTCTAACCATTCTAACAGTTAACTAAAGGTATCAGTGACATAAAGAGCCAGGCACAGCATATAACAAATAGAATTGGCTTTAATATCTCATTGCAAAGTGACTACTAGAAATATCACTGCACTGAATTTTTTCCTAGATTCCAGAAAAGCAAAAAGTAGATATGAAAAAGACTTTTATCCTGCCTCTAATTGCTTCCAGCCCTATTTCTATTTTGAGATATATTTTAGTAAATTTTATCAGCAAAGGCAAAAAGTCTAGCCTAATAAGTAAACCTAAATATTCTACTTGACAGATTCTCTAGAGCAAAAGCAAGACAGGCCAGCATGACAGTTCTCAGGAATTAAGCTAAAACCAAATTCAGGTTTTGTGCATTTTTGCGATTCCCAAAGGTTATCACATGTGTCTTCACTTTGGGTCTAGAAAAGAAATGCTACAGTGAATGTATCTGGAGTGAAAAAAGTTAACTTCTCTCCTTCCATTTATTCATTTACTTAATAGTCATTATAAGTTACTATGTGAGCTAAGTTCTGTGGGGGGCGGGGAGGGGATATACTAAATGACATTTAATAATTAAAAGGCATTTCAAAAACCATTTAGTTCCAAAGCCTTCATTTCAGATTAATTTTACAGTTTTTATAGAACTAAGACATTATAATAGCTACTCTTTATCTCATTACCCAGCTTTATATTCTTCATAGTACTTAACACTATCTGAACTTATATGCTTGTTACATACATACGTATGTGTGTATGTATTTTGTGGCTCCTCTTATTAGAAGAGAAGCATCCTGTAAGTAAAAGTCTTTACTTTTCATCCATTGTTCTACTTTCAACTCTGAGGAAAATGTCTAGCACACAGCAAGTACTCAACTGACATCTGTTAAATGAATAAATAATACAGTTATAGAAAAATGAGAAAAACATATCGAAATATAATACTGGGACTTGTGAGAGTGTTAGAACCAGTGTGACCTTTGCTCCAGAAAAAGATCATATTTGAATTATATGAAGTACTAGAATCCAGCTACTAAGGAAAAGGTGAGTTGGTAAAAAGTAAATATTTCTCTGAATAGAGGATAACAAATTAACTTATTCAGGCATACCAGGTAATAGACATTCATTTCCTCCCAAATCAATGTCTGGAAAACATCTTCAATTCATATCACGTATTAGAATACTAACTAAAAACTCTTCATTCAAGCTAGAATTGACTTATTACATACCTATTAAGAAAATTCATACTGAAACCTCAGAGATATTTAAAAAGCCTAGAAGAAAACAGAGGCAGTAAGCTCTTTGACATCACTCATAGTAATATCTTTTTGGATATATCTCCTCGAGAAAGGGAAATAAAAGAAAAAATAAACAAGTAGGACTACATCAAATTAAAGCTTTTGCACAGCGAAGGAAACCATCAACAAAATGAAGACAATCTACTAAACAGGAGAAGATATCAGAGAAGGCTTAATGTTCAAAATATATAAAGAACTCATATAACTTAACACCAAAAATTTTTTATTTATTTTTTTAGGCGAAGCAACCCTTGGTTGACCGCACATATTGCAAGGACCTTGTCAGCTTATAATCTTTTTTTTTTTTTAATTTTTTTTATTTTTTATGTCTACAGCACCTGGTCTTCCTAGGTGGTCTCCCATCCAAGTACTAACCAGGCCCAACCCTTCTTAGCTTCCCAGATCAAATGAGATCAGGCTTGTTCAGGGTAGCATGGCCGTAGACCCCCGAATATTTCAAAACCCCCAAAAATGGGCAGAGGATCAGAACAGACATTTCTCCAAAGAAGACATAAAGATGGCCAACAGATACATGAAAAGATGCTCAATAGCACTAATCATCAGGGAATGTAAATTAAAACCACAATGAGATATCACCTCACATCTGTCAGAACAGCCACCATCAATAAAGCAACAAATGATAAGTGTTGGCAAGGATGTGAGAAAAAGGAACCCTTACATTCTGTTGGTGAGATTATACATTAGTGTAGCCACTATGGAAAATGGTATGAAGATTCCTCAAAATAGTACAAATAAAGCTGCCGTACAATTCAGCAATTCCAATCTGGGTATTTATCCAAAGAAAACAAAAACACTAATTCAAAAAGATATATGCACCCCCCTATGTTCACCATAGCATTTCTATTTATCCAAAGAAAACAAAAACACTAATTCAAAAAGATATATGCACCCCCCTATGTTCACCGTAGCATTACTATTAATAGCCAAGATATGTAAGCAACCTAAATGTAAGCAACCTCAATAGATGAATGGATAAAGATGTGTATTTATATATAATAAAATGTTATTCAGCAATAAAAAAGAATAAAATCTTGCCATTTGTGACAATATGGATGGACCTAGAGGATATTATGCTAAGTGAAATAAATTAGACAAAGACAACTATCATATGATCTCACTTATATGTGGAATCTGAAAACAAAAATGTATAAACAAAACAAAACTGAAACAGACCATAAATATAGAGAACAAGCTGATGATTGCCAAAGGGGAGGAGGTATGGGGATAGGAATAAAAAATAAACATATGAAAAAAAAATCATGACTGCAGGTGCCCAAGCCACATGGAGGATCGTAAGATTAGGTATTACCTTGGTTCCTTCCACTGGCGTGTAACACTGATTACTAAAACAAAGAGTGTGAATAAATATGAACTGAAAATTTAGACCCGAGCAAGTCTCTAGACCTAACTACTAGTTTACACGAAACATAGGGGACAGAAGAACATGTTCAGTGATGTCACAGGGATGCGATCAACAAAATTCAGAATATGGGACTCTCTGAAGGACAAACCCAGTTTCTCTAATACACACACTGGAAGAAGAAAAGAGGTGAGGGAAACATGTAGATTTAAGGAGTCCTAAGAAACATGTCTACTAGATGCAATGTATGGTCTTCGTCTGGATTCTGGTTTAAACCAATCTATTGATTGGTTTAAAATTTAAAAAAAAATTTTTTTCAGGAGCATGCATCTTAAATTACCTATGAAGGAGGACTTTTATAAAAACTCTACCTGAAATTTTAGTG